AGGGGTGGGGGCTGGGCAGAGAGCTTACGGTGGTGAACAAAATGATTGCATCTATACTTTGCGGGGGGTGGGGGGAAGAGAAATTGTGGGTAGGTGGGGCATTTGTGGGGTGCACGAGTCATCACTTCAGTCCTGGGGGAGAGAGATTCAAGATACATTGACTGTGCTGGGAAAGAGTAGACGTGGGTCCTGTATTGCTTGCAGGCTCTGGGCCACAATCCTTCTTTTCGTGGATCGGCGAACGATCAAAGAGTGTAGTTCGGCTGGGCGCACAGGAAGGCTTGGGCAGCGCTCCACGGTCGCAGCTGGTGTTAATCCGCGGCCTTGGGACATGCGGGGTCACCAAAAGAAGGAATGGGACCGTCGCAGCTGGGGAGGGGGTGGGGACCGGATGACTGATTCGATGACCATGCCACCGAGGCCCCCTCATCCCAGCAATCATGCGACATCACCTTCAGTGGACACACTCTCTCCACCCCTCCATGTCCCATGGCACCCTCAAGGCTGATCGAGCGTGCCAGCGGCGTGCCTGTTGAGGAGCGCGCGGAGGCTTCACTGAGCCTGGAGACCAAGCTGCTGCACAAGTGAGGGTGGTGTGGGGGTGGTGGTGTGAGTTGGGACGGAGAGAGCGGGCGCTGTTGGGACTTCAGTTGGGCTGGCCGGGTGGTGCGTAATGGTTGACTTAGCGCAGGCCAGTAAACCTGGGGCATGCTGCAGCGACACCCAGCCTTCTTCTACTGCCTGTTGAAGCAAGGCCAGGCTGCTGGTGCACGCACCCCAAGGCCACCGCCTGCCTCCCTCTGCTTTGCGCCTTGCCCCTCCTTACGCCCCCTCTGCTGGGCTCATGTGGCCATAGGTTTTTGCCCCCTGTGGACGTCTGTGTGGGCGTGCAGTATGCTGGGTCCGCCTCAGAGGTCATCCTTATCCTCACCATACAGGTGAGGGATGTGCCAGGGGGGGGGTCAACGGGGAAATATTTGCATAGGGATGGGCTGCTGAATATCGGGTTCGCCGACCTTTTTGTGGTAGCCCAGTGTGTTTTCTGGGCAACGAGCGCGTGGAAAGGTCGCGTTGCGATGACTTACAGGGAAAATGCGAGACGTGCCATCTGTGGCATGGGCACACTCCCCCTCACACACACACGCACACACACACACACGTGCGCGCATGCGCTCACAAATGCACACGCACATGCACACAAACAAACATGAACATACGTGCACAAACAAACCCCCAAAAACACGCGCAAACACGCACACAAGCACGCACACGAGCTCAAACACACACGCGCGCGTACTTTGGCATGCTCTTTCTTGTTTGCGTGTGTGGTTCCAACTCCCAATGTTTTGGCACACCCTTGTGACGTTTCTCCCAATCCTGCAGGCGTCCACCCTGGCTGGTGCCATGATGGTGGTGGATCACAAGGTGTGCGGGGATAATCAGCTGGGCGGGAGCAGGAAGCTAGCAACAGGCAGTGCCTTGCCAGCGGCAAGTCAGTACGCTTCTAGGCTTCAGATCAAGGCCAGCAAGACGTCGGGGCGGGGAAAGGGTACAGTCAGGCCTGCAAACAGCCCTTGCCTCTCGCGACTGCAACAGCCTGGGCCTGGACACCTCACAACGCTGCCATTCATCAAACCACGCTCGTCCGCTGCGCCTGGTCCCCTGTCGTGATCAGTCGCGTGTGGTGTACGCCACCACCCAGCTGGGCGCCATGCTGGGCTACAGCGCGCGCCAGGTCGCGTCCATGGACCTGGCGTCCCTGATACCGCCACCCTACAGCCAGATGCACGCGGGCTTCATGAAGGTGAGGGGAGGGGTGCCGGGGGGATGAGGAGGTTGGAGAGGGGGCAGCTTGAGCCCTGCAGGCAAACGGACTGGCGGGTATGGAGGGAAAGCAAGGGCGGGTATGGAGGGAAAGCAAGGGGCAGCAAAATAATTGATAGGCGTATTCCCATCACAGCTTGCCCGGGGCAAGGCTACCGCAGGGGTGAGCGTGGTTTGAGCGCAAGGCAATTTCCGGATCTTGTCCACTTGCACTTGCAGCAGGACCTGGCCGCCTGCCATATGGCTCCCTGCTTGCCTTGCAAGCCCACGGCTTTACTGAAGGCCTCGCTTGTCCCACCCAGTGGAGACCCCATTTGAGCCCCTGCTCAACCCCGCACCCCAACCCCTGCACTCTTGAACCCTGAGCCTATCCCTGCCCACCCTCCCCCAGGAGCTGGCCACCAAGCCCCCCGCCACCAGCTGCCGCGCCGGCGCTGTGGTGCACCTGCTGCGCTCGAACGGCGTCAAGGTGCCGGTCACCCTGCATCTCTCCACTCACGATGACGGGGAGCGGCTGCAGCACGTGGTGCGGGTGACGCCCTCCTCGGACGCCGCCGCCATGGACAGGGCGCGGCTGGTGCTGGGGGTGGACGGGTCCGGGATCATCACCCGTGTCAACCCGGGGCCCAGCAGGGCGCTCTTTGGCTGCAGCCCGCAGGTGGGGTGTGTGCGTGCGGAGGGGGCATTTGTGCATCAGGATGCGTGATGAGGGGTCAGGCTGGGATTAGCGGATGCCTGGGATTGAACAATCAACTCTGAACTTGGTGGATACCCGCTGCACCCTGCGGCCTGATGCGCCCCTGGTCAGCCCAAGGCATGATCTTGTCAATGCAAAGTACGTAGTGGTATGCCCTTGTGCTGGCAAGTGCTTGGACCCTGCCTCGTGGCACATTGCATACGGCATCAAGCCCCAATCCCAGCCGCCTGCTTGCTGACCTTGGCGCTGCCACCATTGTCGCAGGACATGGTGGGCCGCCCCGTGCGTGCCTTTGTCAACGTGTTTGGGGAGTGGTCTCGAATGCACGGGGAGGACGCGTCACTGCTGACAGCCCTGGGGCTCAGGGCGCTGGATGGCGCGGATGAGGCGTGGCGCGTGGGGGTGCTGGCGCAGGGGGACGGGGACAGCAAGGTGGGCGGTGGCTTGACGGCGGGACGTGCTGGGCGCCACGTGCCTTGCTCAAACATAGCTGCAGCGTTCTGGCTGGTGCACATGTTGCGAATGATGCATCCCAGACATCGTCACGCGTACCATTGTCAGCAACCCCCACAAGCAGCTGCCCCACTATGTAGGACAGGCCGCCTGCCTGGCCAGTGACCCCTTGTAGACACACGCAGTGATACAACCCCGGCAACCCCCAGAATCCACACCTCACACACCCGTCTGCCCCCGCCCACAAAAGGTCGATTCCAGGACAAGCGCCTCGACACTGACGGCGGCCCTCCAGCAGCGCAACCGCGTGCGGCCCGCCCTGCTGCAGGCGCAGGTGGTCATAAAAGATCCCGAAGACGAAGCCTGCACGCACAGCGGCAGCGGCAGAGTCCCTGCCTTCGCCGCTGCTGCCGCCCCGGACGCCGCAGCCTCGGCTGGTGATGAGGAGGAGGCGTCTCTGCAGCTGGTGCTGTGGCGTGCGGACGCTTTGGCGGCGGTGGTGGAGCTGGACAAAGCGCTGACCGTTGTGAGGGCGGATGCTGCCGCTGGGCTGCTGTTTGGCGTCAGCAGCAAGATGATGATCAATAAGGACTTCAAGAGGTGAGCGTGCGGCCGCGGCTCTTTCAACCGGGGTAGACATGCAGGGCCATACGCGCGCCAGGGCGGTCAAGATTGGGGAAGATTGCCACAGGGGTGCGCTTTTGTCCCAGGAAATCAGAAGTGGGGTGCGATGTGTTGGTATTGAGGAAAAGGTACCGTCTGGCTGCAATTAGCGACTCTGTGTTGAGGGTTGAACGGGTGGACGGGGTGCATTCTTCCTCTGCCGGGTGGCAGCGCTGGCGCGCCAGAGCCTCGCTGAGTGCATCTCCGGGTATCTTCTACCCAGGCGACCCAGGTCTCCAGACACCCTGCAACCGCCCCCCCGCCTCCCGCCTGCCTTCGCTATCACAGGCTGGCGGGGCTGCCTCAGAGCGCCACCGCTTCGGACCTGATGACAGCGGCCACCGGGGAAGTGGGGCCCGGCAAGAAGGGCGGCCTCAAGGCGGGCGCAGCCCCCAAGGTCGGGGTGCGCAAGAGGCTGCACACCACGCACGCGGATGGTGGGCCGCTGGCATTGATCATGCAGGTGAGGGCGGTTGGGATCCCAGTCTGAGGGACAAGCCAAGCAGAGCATCGGTTGGAGGGGCGCGGACTTGTGGCAGCCAAAGGGGGTGCACAACAACATGTGTTGTCATTTTCTTGTGTTGCAGTGTCCCTGGCACTCCCTACCATCCCGCCTATCCGTTGTCCGCAAGTTGCGGTTTGCCACCCCCCC